ACGTTACTACCGTGCCAGCAATGTTCAACTCTCGGCCATCCTCATTACACGATGATCTGGTATTTTTGCTTTGTATGTACTATGTCACCGTCTTTGCTGGGACTGACACGTATATGTATTCGGTGCTTACAAAACGTACTGATATCTCATCACTGGGGTAATCCCATTGGTTTTCAGGTTCGCGATTTGACTCCGCAAAATGCTCTACATGTAGTAGCACGATACATATCAAATTTACTCCGGATCAGCCTAAACTGAATATATACACATTGGAAAGTTAAGATAACAGAATTCGAAAAACAGGAAAAAAACGTACTACATTCATCACGTAGTCTAATGACTCAATTTTTGACACACAAATTCTAGTGGATGCGTTTATACACATGAACTAGCGGATGCTCCCAGCACTTGACCGTCGCGGCACTAGTGCTAAGTTTCCTGTGAATTAGGGAATCAGGACTCAGGGAATGTTCGAGATCACCCAGGCCCACTTTGCACCAAGACCAACAATAATGCGCTTTTGGACTATCGTTCTATTGCTCTTGTTTACCCTGCTGACGTATGACGGACCTCTATTTGTTTTTGACTACCAGCTACATTATGCTTTCAAGAAATGCATTCAGACTGAGATCGTGTAGAGAACACATCATAACTCCCCGTGAATTGTCGATCAGTTAATCTTTTTTCTCTAAGGAAAACGAAATCCAGTGATACGCTGTCTACGAACCACCTATGGATTCCGGAGATTTATTAGTACAAACGTGAGTAATTGCATGAAATAGGAGTTAGGGTTTCATTATAGCCCGAAGATATGCAATAACACCTTGGTGAACCAGAGATGGAGTTTGATTCTTCTTAGACTTTTTTATAGACATCAATGCATCCAGTGATCAATATGGACAGTCAACTGAAGTTTTGAAGATGATAAGGAAACGTTAGGATGCTAAATGGCTTTTTGGACAACCAACCAAAAGAAACATCTACTGTTTATAAAACATTCATATATAAACGTATTTTCAAAACAGATAGCTGCAAGAGAAGCACTCTGGTAGTAAGTATCACACGAAGAGCTAGATTTCACGTAATCCTCGGTTGTAACCATACACTTTAGGATCCGCTACGAACTCGTAAAAAGAAACTGCTCAAATATCCGCCAGAAATCATAGCAAGCAAAAGGATCCAAGGATTTTATTTCAAAACCTACGTTGAAATGCGGTAAATTTCAAAAGTTTGCCAATCTCACTACCTTCAAAGTTCAAGTAATTTGCCCAATAATAAACTGGCCATCTAGAAATGGTGCTCCATTAGAGTCACCTAAACCGCCAGCGTCACTATTTCGCTGGAAGCGTATGTACTACCAAGAACTTTTCGCTTCTATCTCAAGTTGTTCTTACTTTTACAGTCTATTTGCCAGCGTTATTGCTCTAGGATGCATTGTTATACCTACTCATTTAACAACCGTGAGTAAAAATATTTGTTTTATTGTTCAATTATTGCCACCGCACAGTTTATAAAAATCTATCGGATTTATAAAGTTGCTCTTTGTAATTTGCCCCTAATTAATGTATACTGTTATAGACATGACAGAAAGCACTTGAACCGCAAAACGTTCATAACTGTAGCAAAAAGGTCCGCTGTCATCTATTACTAATCTATCCAATCCCCGGGACCCGAGACCTTGCAGGTAAAATGCAATTGGAGGATTCACAAGAGCTCCGGGTCATTATTCAAACTGTTCCTGGACAAGTGATAGAGTTGGCTTCTTGATCAAATGTAATCACTGCTAACCGCCACTGGGTACTAGATTTTCTGCTTTCAAAAGCTACAAAACACAGTTTTGCCTGAGAACAACATTTTAGCTCGCGTAAACAAGTATCGTACTTCCATTTAAATTAGTTATTCGCCGTCCGTTTTGCCCACAGTTTGATCAGCTCAGTTCAGTTCAGTTCAGTTCTTACAGCCAATAACCATTCACTCTTGTGCGCCAGTTTTGGTCGCCCATTTGGATGAAATAGCAAAATGATGATTAGAATGTTAAGAGCAGGTTTAAGCGAAAGGTAGCACATTTTCTTAGACTGAAGTTACAAGAATAATGAGCAGATGCATGAGCACCAATGTTTGCGACACCCAGCCATATCGCTCAGTGTCACTAACCACCGGTGACCATGATTTCTGGGTCCCCATCCAGGGAGCCTAACGGGACCTATGTGAGCCAGCCTCCTGGTCAGGGTTTCCACATCCTCATACCAGGTCTTAGCTTGACCGCCGTTCATTTTTTCCAACCACTACCTGCCTCACCGAGCATCGCTTGCAGTGGCAACGTATCTGGTGACATGCGTGGCACATGTCCCAACCAGTGTAATCTGTGGAGGTCGACTACCTGTACCAGTGGACGACCGCGATTACCTAAAACTCTACGCCTAGCCTCAGCATTGCTCGTCCAGTTTCCCCACCAGACTCGCGCAATGCTAGGTAGACAGCGGTGTTCGCACACCGACAGTCTATTTTTATCCTGTTCCCGAAATGACCAAGTCTCTGCGCCGTAAATCAGAACTGGCCGAACTGCTGCAGTGTATACTCGACCCTTCACAGACAACCGGATGTCCCGGCGGCGCCACAGATGTCTCAAGTTGGCGAATGCCAACCGAGCTTTCTGTATGCACGCCGACACCATCTGTGATGCGTGCGCCAGGTGAGCTATAGCTGCCCAGGTAGCGAAACTTGTCTACTTTCTCTACAACTTCCCCGGTCAGGGTGAGGCTTGCGACTAGACCAACCCAATTTTGGAGCAGCATTTTACACTTTGAAGGTGCAAGGCGCATGCCGAACATCGCTACAGTAGCACTCAAACTATCCAGAAAAGCTTGCAACGTGCGAAAATAAAATGATAATAATAATGATAGCAATTAACTCTGATTGACCGTTGTAGGTACATTTCTTTAAAAAGCAGGTGCAATAAAACATGACCCTGAACATAAACAGGACAATATGATTCAACTGCTAAGAGTGTGATATTGTGCCATCCAAATCGATTGTTTCTTATCACTAAACTAATAATAAACATATCTGTCGATAGTATTTGCTCTTAGGATTACCAAATAGAATTGACAAGTGATGTGGATGGTTTCAGCGTAGGGAATGCAGATCGGCACGAGTATCAGCAACAACAGCAGCAACATAAGAAGAAACAAAATTTGAAAGCAACAAAATGAGAAAAAGAGAAGAAAAAAGAACAAAATAGAATACTGATTGTTTATATGAACGCTTTGCTCGATAAATATCCACGCCTGCAAACTCCTTCATGATTGCATTGATATAGTTGAAAATATTCATACAAACAAAAACAATTTGCTTCCAAAATCGTGAAAGGATTACATCAATTAGAGCAACACAAAACAATTCGCCTTGTTTTGATTTTGTGGACAGACTCAGAAACGTTTATTCTATTAAAGTAATAATTTTTTTAAGTTTAAGCGTTTTGTTGTGGATAGAGTGCACTGTTTAATATCTGAACAATTGGGAACGGTAACAACCGAATCAGAATTGCGAAAGAGAGAGGTTTCCCAAATTTTTATTTCACACTTCACTAACTCCTTAGACGACGAAATTCACCCGGTAGATACAACTCGTTTTTTCTATGATTATAAAATTTGTTTTCACTTCCGTTTATTTCTAGCAGTTCATATTCAGATCACACATTACCGTTATTCGACATATACGTGGTTATATTGGTACCAATCACCCATGTCTGCACGTCACAGATATAAGCATGACCACTGAAGTGATGCACTTTGAGTGTGTGAACACTTTTACCGATGGGGAGCGATGACCTCGTTGACTCCATTACTGATCTAATGCAATAAATCTGGTCACAAGAGAGCATTCCGCCATCCTGGAACAAATCACTAGCTATTCGAATTTTTAAGAAGGAATCTTGCAACGACTGCACAAACTATCGTGGAATCAGGTTGATTTCAATCTTCATCAAAGTATTAGCCTCCCTACTATTTTAACTTCCGAAATCTTTCACTGAGACAAATACCCGCAAACAACAAGCAAGATTTTGACCGGGTTGCGGTTATATCGATCAAATCCTCAATCTGCGTCAAGTCCTCGAGCTACGCCATGCACACCGTCGACCAACGGTGGTCACATTACCTAACCTAAAACGGATCCTTCGACTCAGTTGACGAAGATTCCCTTGTGCCAAAAAAGGCCGGAGACGTATGTAAACGTACGAAGGTCACTCTGCTCACACACGTCTGGTAGCGCAGCGGTCTACGGAGAGTCGAGTAGGTCGTTCGAAACTAGCAGCAATGTTCGTTAGTGGTACCTTAAAAATGTTGGTATTGAACGGGCGACTGGAGAGTACGCTAACTACATCGTTTGTCCGTTCGAATGTATGGAGGATGCATAAAACGCACTTGACAGACTAGCAAGTTCGGTTGCTCCTTTCGGCACGCTTTTTTACCTCCAAAGTGCAAACTGATGCTGCAAGTCTGGGTACCACCGAATCCCCTTTCGAAACTCAATTGTTAGGAATTACCTGAAGTTGACTGCTTCTCGTACTCGAGTAGCTGTTTGACCAGCAACGATAGCGCATCAAAGAAGATAACCGTCCGAATTTCCAATACTTGAGCAGCCTTCAAAGGACTAAATACATTTAGCGACAACGTGACGTTTCACTAAAGTTGAAAAGTCGTGTATACTGCTCCACTGTAAAATAATTTCCGCTTTACGGTTGAAATTGTGGGTAGAAAACTGTTATGTCTTGGAAAGACCTATGATCGATACAAGCGCCTCTAGTACCCAACAAAAAGGGGAGAGCGCAACCCCACAATGCGAACGTACATTTCAAAAGGGGAGGTGTCAGGAGGGGGCGCACAGAACACGTCAGGCCAAGCATCAATCTGCGCAACACCACAAGTGCGGTCGCGACGCCCAAAGACGCGTTGATTCCGGATTGGATTACTAAGGCGAATAAGACAGCTGTCGTCCGATCAATCAACTGGAGTATCAATGACGCGATCTTTGGACTCTGGCCTTGGAGATTTGATAAGCTTCGACAGCGCATCTGCTTGACCAAATGAGGTAGTCGACTGACAGCGGGTCTCAAAATCGTAGCTGAGAATGATCAGTGCCCAACGTTGAAGGCGGTTAGCAATGCAGACTGGAATATCCTTTTTGGAGCCGAAAATTGCTATCAGTGGCTTGTGGTTGATGAGGAGTGTCAACTTTCGACCGTATAGCATTTTATGAAACTCTTCTACAGTAAAGACGATGGACAGAGTTTCTTTTTCAATTTGACTATAGTTTTGCTCCATTGCACCTGACGATCTAGCGGCATTCGAAACGGCCTTCTGTAATTCATCTGGGAATTCTAGAGAGATGACTGCACCAAATTCGCTGTTTGAATCATCGGCTACCATGATGATATCAAGTGCCGGGTCGAAATGTGTCAGAAGCAGGTCTGAGCAGCAGCACTGACTTGACGCAATCGAAGGCGTTCTGGCATTCTCTTGACCAAAGCCATGATTGGTCTTTGGCTAGAATTTGGTTCACTGGGGCTCGGACGCTATGCATATCAGGAAAAAATATACTGTAGTGATTTACGAGGCCCAAAATGATCTGAGTGTAGCCAAATCCGTTGGTAGTGGCATATTTTGAATGGCTTTAATGTTCTCTGGATCTGGTCAATGGTCATCTTGGTCCAGAATGAAACCGAGGTACTTGATGGAGAGCATGAACAAGTCACATTTTTCTTCTCGAATTCTGAAACCATAATCTTGAAACCGTTTCAGCACTGCATTCAGTCGGCTAAACAGTTCTTGTGTGCGACCTATAAAGAGGAAATCATTCAAATATACCACAGTACCCGTGAGACCAGTCAACATCGGGTCCATCAGCTGCTGAAAAACTGTTTTCGCAGACTTGACACTGAAATTTAGATGATTGGACTGGAAAAGTTCAGTTCAGTTCTTACAACCGTTACACTGGAACAAACCGCGATGAGTGTTTATCTTCAGTAGTCCCTTTGAGCCATCAGAAACGCTCACTTGGTGATATGCCTCTGATAAGTCAATTTTGACGAAGCAGGTAATGACATTCAGTTTTGTGAAGATGTCTTTTGGTATTGGAAGTATATATTGATGATCTTCTAGTGAGGCCTTCAAACCCATTGAGAAATGGGCACAAATGCGCATCTTTCCATTGGGGTTTTTGACGACCACAATCGGGGCTGGCCATGATGAGTAATTGACCAGCTTGATGGCTCCAAATTTTTGCAATCGGTCTAGTTCAGCGTCCAGTGATTCGATGACGACGTAGAGTTTCGAATCTAGCTTCAGCGAAAAAGAGGCACGAAACTTTGTGCAACGATCAAGGCTTTCCAGGAATAAAGATGCAAATTTCTGCTTCAGTGATAGCAGCATGCCCGCGATCGATCCGTTTGTTGCACATTGTCAAGACGTATGACCGATACGTGCACTTCCTGACTAGCCCGCAACAACGATGCAGAGAGAGGACACGGCTCAAAAGCGACAGTCAGAGTATATTATTGACCATGCCGCAATACTCAAATATAAGTAGCAAATTAATCGTACAAGAAACGACGTGGTGACGCACCAATCAGATCACGTCATTGACACTTCGGTTGATCGATCGGACGACAGCTCTCTGATTCGCCTTATTCATCTAATCCGAAATCAATGCGCCTTTGGGCGTCGCGACCTCACTTGTGATGTGACACGGATCTATGCTTGGCTTGACGGGTTCTGTGCGCTCCGTCTTAATAAAATCATTTGTTGTTTAACAGTTTTTACAACCAATGCTTACGTAGTCTGGCTCAAGTGCGATGGAGTGAGCGGGCGGTTTGGGAATGCATCAAACAAGAATTTGTTATCGCATCGAATTCAGCTCAATAGGCTCTGTTGGTTAGGATGTCTTCCATATATCGGGCTGTCACCTAACACACCACGCGTTATTCGCAGTGGCAACAGATGACGTGGGGACGAGGCATGACGAAATGCACAGAGCGATTAGGTAGCGTAGGTCCCTCGTCTTCCGGGTTGGGATCCAAAGGACTCCGTAACCAGAGGGTTGGAGACACTGCAGGTCATGGCAACAAATCGAAAGAGTGGCGATCCTGCTTAGAAACGAGTGTGCGCACAGTTGGACTGTGTACTCTGGCTGTTAACCATAAATGTTCGCTTTCATTTCTTGTCCTTGAAAGCAAGTCCATTCCCTATCCTCCTTACACATTCTCACTTGCCTTGTATTTATTATGAGTTTGACAGCGATGAGTGAAGTTCGCTTCACTGTATTACGCTGTACAATGATGATGATGATGTTTCCTAAGGAGCCGGGGGTTGGTGTCAGCATAAATGATTTTAACTCGGCTTGTCGGGTCCGGACCATGACATGTTATCAACAAATGCCAAGCAATAAATGATGCAGACTGTTTGTGTTCGATGTCATTGGTTAAGGGTGGGGTTTCGTACTGATGTAATGTTATTGGATGTGTTAATGGTAGGGGATGAGTGTGTGGATTTGAGGGGTTGAATTGGAGAATGACCTGTGATCATGTGATTCGTTCAATCGGCGTCTAGCCCAGCATGGGATCCGTGTATGCAACGGCCTGTCTGATGGGTGGAGTTTGTCGCCTTCCTTCGTCAGCAGATTCATCAAATGAGACTTTGCTGCACACAATATCATTCAATTTCACCCACGTTCTAATTATGGGTGACCTTAACTACCCGCAGCCTAGCAACATGACGACCTCGTGTACGCGGTTTGAACGACAATTCATGCAGTTCATCCAGTCACATCCGTGGTACAATCATATGAAGGAACCCACTATGTTTTGAAACCTACAGTCACCATCAATTCTGGATTTAGTGTTGACTAACGAGGAGCTGATGGTAGAATCTGTCAATGTGACTTCCCCTCTAGGACTCAGTGATCACGCAGTGCTTACATTCAAATATGTTTGTTACTTCCACTCACGGAAGTTCCCCAGATAAGACGCGCAGATCCATCGCCAGGCAGAAATTTATTGACAGTCTTACAAACCTAATGACATCGATTACCAAGATTAGAGTAATCAACAAATCCAGCATCTAAAATTGACCTTTTCGAAGTCGAACAAGGAAATGGCTACCTATAAGAGATTTATCCTAGCGAGATCAAAAACGTCTTCCGAATGTTGTCGCGTGGAATAATCATCGTATGCTGAGGAACCACTGTACCAGGATGATTGGTGAAGATTAACTGAAATCCCACGAGGCGCTTGCACAGAGATTAATTTCTAACCCTAAGCTGTTGTATAAGCACCAACTCAATTCGGCACCAAGCAATGCTGGAAAAGTTGCAACCACTTCTACGGAAGCAGCTGAACTGCTGAAAACTCAGTACTTCAACGTTTTCGCAGCACCGCAAGTTGAACGTCTACAGCGACCTCCCCGGTTGCATCATCTTTCATGTCCTTCACTGATCTACGTATTACCTACTGCTGAAAACGCCAAAGCAAAACTGATGGCAGTGCGAAAAAATGTAACCCCAGGTGCGGACAACATACACCCGAAATCTTCTTGGCGAATCACATATCCTAACCGCTGGCCATTCTGTTCCAGCGAATGTTCAACCAAGCACCACTCCCAGAATAGTGGAAACTAATAGTTATTTCGTCCGTATACAAAGGTGGTTGTCGTAGTGACTCCTCGAACTACCGATCAGCAACCCTGCTTCCGGTGTTATCGAAAGTCATGGAGTCACTTGNCTGGAAAAGTTGCAACCACTTCTACGGAAGCAGCTGAACTGCTGAAAACTCAATACTTCAACGTTTTCGCAGCACCGCAGGTTAAACGTCTGCAGCGACCTCCCCGGTTGCATCCTCTTCCATGTCCTTCACTGACCTACGTATTACTTACTGCTGAAAACGCCAAAGCAAAACTGATGGCAGTGCGAAAAAATGTAACCCCAGGTGCGGACAATATACACCCGAAATCCCTGATATTTTTGGCGAATCACATATCCAAACCACTAGCCATTCTGTTCCAGCTAATGTTCGACCAAGTACCACTCCCAGAATCGTGGAAACTGGGAGTTATTTCGCCTATATACAAAGGTGGTTGTCGTAGTGACTCCTCGAACTACCGATCAGCAACCCTGCTTCCGGTGTTATCGAAAGTCATGGAGTCACTTGAGGGAGAGTCTCTGATGGAACACCTCGAACGATTCAACATTCATTCGGCAACTCAACACGGGTTCAGGCAAAGGCGATCCCACTCCACAAACTTACTTCTTGTTCGTGATGAATCGACCTGAATAGTCGACTAAGGGGATGCGGTGAATGTGATTTATCTCAGCTTTTCGAAAGCATGTGATCCGGTGAATCATCAGATCTTGTTACAGAAGCTCTACAATTACGGTATTTGAGATTTTGTGTTTGATTGGATTAGAGCATTTCTTCCAACAACGGACCATATCAGTTCATGTTTCTCATTCCATATCCTGATTTATCAATGCCACCCGCGGTGTTCAACAAGGGTCGTACTCGGTCCCTGTCTGTTTCTTGCATCACAAATGATCTACCGAATGTGTTAGATTGAAAATCAATACTGTTTAGAGATGACGCCAAAATCTTAAATACAGTAACAAAACCCGATGGCTCGCTAACAATTCAAGAATCACTTAACGCAGCTTATTATTGATCTAAGAAGAATGACATTGAATCCAATGTTCCTGAATGTAAAGCCCTATCCCTACATCACAAGAGAAGATTCTCGTATTTCCTCGGAAATCAGCAGCTACGGTATACTTCAAAAGAAGAGGACCTAGGTATTGTTGTTCAAGAACATTTAAGCTGCTCGATCGATTGCTCTAAGACTTCGTCCGCTGCTGTGAAGAATGTCGGCTCACTTAGGCGAGTCTTTGGTCGGTTTGAATCAGCACTGTTCCCACGTTTGCTATCAGCGTACATCCGACCGTACACAGAGTGCGCTATCCACGCTTGAAGGCATAGTTGCAAACTGATCGCAAGATGTTTCAGCGCCCACAAAGGATGGCCACCAAGATGGTCAAGAGATTGCATTACCTTACCTATGAGGAGAGATTACGGTCATTGGGACTATATTCTACTCAGTACCGCCGAACTTGGGGAGACTTGATTTTGCCGTATCAAATCCTACAGAACCCAAACCATCCATGTCGGCAGCTGCTCAAGTTATCAAACAATGTACATCTTAGGGGACACCGTTTCAAGCTAATGATTCCAAAGTGTCGACTGGAATGCCGGCGCCAATCTTTTGCTGTCAGATTATGCAGTACTTGGAACACCCTTCCATCTCACGCCGTTTGTACACCAACTATTACATTTTTCAAGCGGAGACTCGATAAAACCTTGGTACACCCCAAATTCCCAGACCACTGG